AGGTAGGCTTCAGTCAGAACTGAGGGCATTGTCCTTCTCAGACGAGTGTGCCGCCTTTATGGACAATCAAGTTGTGCTAAAGTCGCAAATCGGGTTTCTCGCCAAGAACCAAATCCTAGGACACGATCCTCAGCTGATCATCATCCCCCGGCTGTAAAATATAATAGAGCACTGAGTTGCACGAAAACTGTACTAAGGATTCGAGACGGGGTGCCAAGCACATGTTTTTGTGTTACGGCCAAGGCAAGCAGGACAGGCCAGCCTCCCCGACTTCCATCACAAGGTGGATTATTGCGACTGTGTTAGAAGTCTTTAGTTCCTCGACACAAAACTTGCAGAGACACCAAGTATGAGCGCATGAGGTCCGTGCAATTGCTAACTCACTAGCGCTAGTGTCAGGCGCCCCCTCGAATATATAGTGGGAGCAGGCTTCTGGAGAACGCAGAACGTCTTTATCAACTACTACCTAAGAGATACTCAATCCATTGAGGAGGGTCTCTTCAGGATGGGTCCCGTCGTAGCGAGTCAGACTTTGCTTGCTGACCCAACCCGAACGACCACAGGGATCTCAGCAATTTTGTGGACAGATTTCTACCTTCGACACTCCCTGCAATTACCAGGTCTCGCTTTCGACCTATGCTCTCATGCATAACTTTGTTGGTCCTTATTTCAAGCTAGTTACCCCAGAATTGGGGTTGGGGGTCTAGCATTCTAGGGCACACCGAACCCCGTCACCGTGGCATCATTTTGGCTCATGCTTCAAGGACGGTACAGGCAAGGTAATAAGACACCATTTCCTGCATTGGTCTTAACTCGGTGGTAGTCTATTACTGGAGAGCATTATTCCGGACTGGAACACACTTTTCATCACTTACTGTTTACAGGGAAACCCGCCACCTATCGGCATCTGAATCTGCCTACAGTTCAAAATAGTCATTTTGACTGACCAGAGTCCATGGTGGGTAATTCAACGTAGTGAATTTAGGCAGAGTGTTCTCGGAAACCGATATTCACATAATTCATACCCATCATAGACCCCCCAACCACCCCACTTTTTCCGTAGCTTTGGCTTAGTCCTGGACGCAGAGAAAGAAGGAACCAGAGTGACGTATTTGGCAAATATGGCTATGCCTCATGGCCTCGGTCATGTGGTTCGTGACGTGAGGGAAAATCTTGAGGTCATGGGGCTTCCCCTGACCTAGATTTATTTCTCCGTCATTGGCTGAATCGCAGATTAATGCCTATAGTTAAAAATTTTGACTGACCGAAGTCTATGGTGCACATGAACTATGTGAATAGGCCGGTTCCCAGAACCCTCTGCCTAAATTCTCTTGCAGGGCAACCATGTTCTGGAACAGCAAGTCAAAAAGCATTCACGTCTATTATCAGAAACATAACGTAACTGGATCACTAAATTATGACGCATTTTTGATTCTATGATATTACCAATTTAAAATATGGGTCAA